ACCCGATAGCCTTAATCGCATGTGAACAAGGTAATAAACCGACCTGAAAGAGATTTTATTTTTATTTTAACCGACCTGACAAGTGGTAAACGTAGTGATTGATATTTGAAGCTTCTATTTTATGCGCTTCCATTTTATAATTCATCAAACGCTTAGATATTGATGAAGGAACTTCACGCTCTGTGTTTTCTGCCTCAATACGTCTTTTGTGAAACCACTGTTACATAATGTTTCGAATAGTTTGAATGAACAAACCGGCAATTTCATTGTCCAACGCAACTTATTGTTCAGCACCTCACATGCATTTGACGTCATGAAACTCTACACGACTATATTGATGAAACTATAAAAAAAAATCGATTAGGTAAATAAAATCGACCATCAAATCTCATCCTTCGATTTTGTCTTGGTGTCCCTCTCAAAGAAAATACATTTTTAAGCTTAATTGCACCAAACTCCCCTGTGTTTAACGAATGTACGCGTTTCCCCACTGTGTTTTAAAAACTGCACCAGACCCCCTTGTGTTTAAGTGACAGATGCGAACGCTCCCTTTTTTCAATTTCTTGTTAACGGTGTTAATTTTTATACAAAAACCCCATTATACCCTTCGAATATTATATATATATTTACGATAAATTGAATTTCTCACGATATATTGGATATATCGCGAGAAATTTAATTTAAAAAAAAAAAGTGTTGTCTTGCAAGTTCGAACCTGTGACCTCAAATGAACATGCAAAGCAAGCTACCACTACACCACTCAAGCTTGAGTGTTAAATGTGGTAAAGTTTATTATACATAGGCATTACATATGGATAAATGAATTCAATTTAAAAGTAATATAAATCATATTAAATTAAATTATTAAAATATAAATATATGATAAATTAAAATATAATGAACCAAGTTATATAAAATTAACCAAAACGAAAATATAAAAATAACTTATTATATTAAACAAAAACAAAATAATAAAAATAAATTATAAATAAATTTAAAAATCAAAGTTAAAATAATAATATTTATTAAATTATATTTAGTTTATTTTATATTTTATTATTTGTTGTAATTTATATTATTATTGCATTGTTCATTTTATATTATCTTAGTTAACAAACTTTATTTATTTTGTTTATCTTAAGATAATGTAATCAAATTATGTTAAATTTTAATAATAAAATTAGAAATTAAAATTATTTTTAAAAAATAAATCATTTATTAAAAAATTATAATTTATTTCAATTTCTTTAGTGATATTGTATGTTAGAGTAAATTATATTGCACGTATTTGCTAAATTGTGTTTTTATAACATAATAACTTATTTTATTTATTATATTATTTTACTTTACAATTTTTATACTTTATTATCTTATAATATTTTTATTTTATTTTTATTTAGGGGTGGCTCGTCCACGTCGTGTGATGTCTTAGTGCTCGCTTAGGCTTCGGCTTCCTATATTGTACCAAAAAAAATAAAATTATAAATTTATTTAATTTTAATTAATGTTACTATATTAAATTTTATCTTACTTTATTTTAATTTAAATGTTACATTATTTTTATGTTAATTTAATTATTTCAAGTTATTATTATTATTATTATTATTATTATTATTATTATTATTATTATTATTAATTATTTAATTTATATTTAGTTACCTTTTAGATTTTTATTTATTTTATTTACTTTAATTTAATATAACATAATAATTTATCTGATTATATTATTTTACTTTACAATTTGTATACCTTATTATCTTATAATATTTTTAGTTTAATTGTATTTATTTTTTATTTAATTTTAGTATCATTGTTTTTCATTTCAAAATTTATATAATTAAATTATTTTAGTAATTAAAAATTATAAATGTATTTAACTTTAATTCGTGCTACTATATATTAAATTTTATCTTACTTTATTTTAATTTAATTGTTTCATTATTTTTATGTTAATTTATTTTATTTCAAGTTATTATTATTATTAATAGTTATTTAATTTATATTAATTTACGTACTAGATTTTTATTTATTTTATTTTCTTTATTTTTATTTTATTTAATCATTTTCGTATTATATTATAAATATATGTGTGTTCAATAGATAACACAACCCAGTGGATTTGTTGTCATGCTCTCTCTTGGGCACCTCGGGTTTGAATCTCACTTCCTACATTATAAATTTTTGGCTTTGCAATAAGATTCAGAAGGGTAAAATGGTAAATTAGTAATTCTGAAAATAAAAAAATTGAATAAATCTCGCAGCTAGAGAAAGTGTCACACACGCGCGGTTAACTTGGACAGAATGGGGGAACCGTGCAACAATTACATAAACACAAGGAGGTCTGATGCAGTTTTTAAAACACAGTGGGGAAACGCGCACATTTCATTAAATACATGGGAGTTTGATGCAATTTACCCATTTTTTAATCAAAGTTGGAAGCCAACACTTCATTAAAATGGGTGGAGTTGTACATCTGCGACGTCGTACTACACTTACATATCTGGAATTGGATTATAAAAATTACAAAAGGGTGGCAAGTAAAAGCCACTGCCCCCATTATCGCCACACTCTTCTTCAACCATCATCATCATCATCTGAGGTACCTGAAATTTTGATACTATTGTTTGATTGATTTCTTTATTCCAATATCTGTATCCGTCGCCGTCGCCGTCGCCGAGCAGACGATTTAGCTGAGCTGCTCCGGTATTTCTACGAATATATGTGTATAAAGTTAAAAAAGTTTATGCATAGACAGCTCGCTATAATCATCTGGCGGTGATTTGGGGATGCTTGTGAAATAACAGAGGTTTATGTGCTGTTTTATCTGAATGATTTTTATGTCATCTGCTGTGGAAGTTGAATTTCTATGCTGTGAAATAAGTGATTTAGTGTGTCTCTTTACAAGGAGGGTAGCAGCAAACTTTGCAATCGATATAAATCTGGTGGATCATTTTAGGGGTGACGTGGCCCCGATTGTTGGGTTTGATTTGATAGCAGATGAATGATTTATGCTGCTTAAGTGCATCTCAAGAGTGCTGCAAATTAGTCCTAATTGCCAAATTGATTTTCTTTCTTTCTGTGTGTCTGCGTGTGTGTGGGGGTTCGGGTGTCGTGCCGATTGATTGATTTTTGTATGTCAGCTATTCTTTGTGTGCCTTATTAATTGAGTTTTTTGGTTTGAATGCTGGAAATTTGTGTGTAATATTCGATCCATGTGCATGTTATACTCTATATAACTTGTGTTGGCCATGATGTGAGTGGGTTCAGTGAACTTGACTGAGAATTGAAACCACATTCAACTGTTGGATATGTGTTCAACTTCCATTATTGTATGAAAAAATCATCATTAGTAGACTTTATATGAATTTTCTGAGAAATTTTCGGGGGGAACGGTTGATTTGTTATATAATGAAGCCCGCCAATCATTTTTTTCATGACCATTGAAATTTTGAAATACTCAATAGCAATGATGTATTGTATTGACTACTAAACTCTATTTCTTCTTTTTACTGAATACATGTAATTATTAGCATCCTTTCTCATTTCCTTCTCCTCTGTAATTGTACATAGCCTGTGCGTTGTTAGCACGGTTAAAATTTAAATGTTAAATTTCTTTATAAAAGAGGAAAGAGAAATTAACTTTTCATTGATACACTTGTACATGAATTTTCAACCGGAAAAGATTAATTTTTTCCGGAATGTGAAACTGTGCCGTGCTTGATAGCTTTGATGTGTTATTCTGTAACTAGCTTATTATTCCTTCAGGTTTGTTTATTTAATTCTATGACCAAATATTATTGGATAAGTGTTACAATTTTGAAACCATGGTTTATTATGTAAGAGTATCATTTATCCACGAAGGCTACACAGCCAGTTTTCTTGATATCTGAATCATTGCTAATGATTGATAGAGTAATTTATAAGCTTCATGGCTTCACATTGTGTATGTCGTATGTGGATCTTCACAAACTGTTTATGTTATTATGTGATAGAATAATTATTTCTGTGACCACTGAAGTTACTTTATTAGGACTTAGGAAATGCTAGCTGAGATGCTCTTCTTCATTCCCATTGGTCTAAAATTGTATCCATAGCTTGGTCACTCTTTTAGTCACTGAGCTTGCAGAAACTTTTTCTGCTGAGTAGTTTCCTGCTCTTGGAATTTCTTGCATAACCGTGTTTAGTTGGAGGTCAACCTCCACCTGCATGCTAGGATTTGCCAATTTGGTGACAATAGCCGGAATGCCACATAATATACACTAGTACTTTGGATACACAATATATGATGCTATAGTTCTGATATAGGTGTCTAATAGAGCAAGATTAGTTAAATCCACAATATTTTATGTGATTTCTTTTTTTTTTTCCTTTTCTTGCAAACTTAGACTGCATTAGGTCTATTTTCTTGCAATTACACTCGGGACATACGCCTATATATGAACCATATGAGTTCAGCATTGTATAATTTATCTATCTACCATTTATTTTTTCTCATTTTGACAGGCTGCTATATTCTGAAGTTTTCCCTAGTGCCAACCGACGTAGTTCTTGCACATAACCTTCACTACCCTGCTATTATACCAAATGGGGAGCGTTGAAGGACGGAAGCTCAGATTCTGCATCGACAGAGGGGGCACATTCACGGACGTCTATGCTGAAATCCCCGGTAGACCCGAGGGCCGAGTCATGAAACTGTTATCTGTAGATCCTGCTAATTACGACGATGCGCCGGTAGAAGGAATCAGAAGGATTTTGGAAGAATTCACCGGAGAAGAAATCCCCCGAAATTCAAAAGTCCCCACTGATAAGATCGAGTGGGTGAGGATGGGAACTACCGTGGCTACTAATGCCCTGTTAGAGAGAAAAGGAGAAAAAATCGCACTCTGCGTGACCAAGGGCTTCAGGGACCTGCTCCAAATTGGCAACCAGGCCCGACCCAACATCTTTGACCTCACCGTGTCAAAGCCCTCGAATCTTTACGAGGATGTCGTGGAAATCGATGAGAGAGTCGAGCTTGTCTTGGAAGGAGAGGAGAAATCAGAATCAGATTCCTTCTGCCCTGTAGTTCAGGGCATCTCGGGTGAGCTTGTGAAGGTCGTGAAGCCAATTGACGAGGAAGCTTTGAAGCCTCTGCTTAAAGGCCTTTTGGACAAACGCATCAGCTGCCTAGCCGTGGTCTTACTTCATTCCTACACATACCCTCACCATGAAACATCAGTTGAAAAACTGGCGACAAGTCTAGGATTCAAACATGTTTCCATATCATCCGCCCTGACCCCTATGGTGCGGGCTGTCCCCCGGGGTTTCACGGCGTGCGTGGACGCGTATCTAACTCCCGTCATCAAACAATATTTAAGAGGTTTCATATCCAAATTTGACGATGGTAAATTAAACGTGTTATTCATGCAGTCAGACGGGGGCTTGGCGCCAGAGAGCAGATTCTCAGGCCACAAGGCCGTCCTGTCCGGGCCCGCAGGTGGGGTCGTCGGGTACTCGCAGACCCTTTTCGGGCTCGAGACAGAGAAGCCCCTGATCGGGTTCGACATGGGCGGCACGTCCACCGACGTGAGCCGCTATGCAGGGACTTACGAGCACGTCATAGAGACCCAAATATCAGGCGCCATAATCCAAGCACCCCAGCTTGAGATCAACACCGTAGCTGCCGGGGGCGGCTCGAAGCTAAAGTTCGAGCTCGGGGCCTTCAAGGTGGGCCCGGAGTCCGTGGGGGCCCACCCTGGCCCTGTGTGCTACCGCAAGGGGGGCGAGCTGTCCGTAACTGATGCAAACCTTGTCCTAGGCTACGTCATACCGGATCATTTCCCGTCGATCTTCGGCCCGAACGAGGACCAGCCTCTTGACGTGAACGCCACCCGGGACGAGTTCCGGAAGCTGGCGAAACGAATCAATGCCCACAGGAGGAGCCAGGACCCGTTGGCTAAAGACATGACGGTGGAAGAGATTGCCCAGGGGTTCGTGAACGTCGCGAACGAGACCATGTGCCGTCCGATAAGGCAGCTGACCGAGATGAAAGGCCACGAGACAAAGAACCACGCACTTGCCTGCTTTGGGGGTGCCGGGCCTCAGCACGCCTGTGCTATTGCCCGTTCCCTGGGCATGAAGGAGGTGCTCGTCCACAGGTTCTGTGGGATTTTGAGCGCGTACGGAATGGGGTTAGCGGACGTGGTTGAGGAAGAACAGGAGCCATATGCCGCCGTTTATGACCCGGAATCTGTGTTGGAGGTTTCGGTTAGAGAGAGAGCTCTTTCAGCTCGTGTGAGGTCGAAGCTTCGGTCGCAAGGTTTTCAAGACGAGAATATTAGGATCGAGATGTATTTAAATTTGAGGTATGAGGGGACTGATACTGCCATAATGGTCAAGTGCCCCGTGAACGAAGAAGATGGATCGAGGGGAGACTATGCTGCCGAATTTGTAAACTTGTTCCAGCAGGAGTACGGGTTTAAACTTGAGGGCAGGAAAATCCTGATATGCGACGTGAGAGTCCGCAGTGTTGGAGTCACCAACATACTCAAACCCCAGGCTCTGGAACCCGGCTCAGGAACCCCGAAAACTGAGTGCCGGTACAAGGTTTACTTCAGTAGCAGCTGGCACGACACGCCCCTGTACAGGCTCGAGGACCTCTTGTTCGGCCACGTCATCCCGGGTCCCGCCGTGATCATGAATGGCAACAGCACCGTCATAATAGAACCCAACTGTAAGGCCAACATCACTAAATACGGAAACATCAGGATCGAGCTGGACTCGTCACACGAAAACACCTCTTTCGAAATAGCGAACAACAAAGAAATCGCGGATGTTGTCCAGCTTTCGATCTTCAACCACCGCTTCATGGGGATAGCTGAGCAAATGGGACGCACCTTACAACGAACTTCAATATCAACAAACATCAAGGAAAGACTCGACTTCTCGTGCGCCCTCTTCGGGCCCGACGGGGGTCTCGTTGCCAATGCCCCTCACGTGCCCGTCCACCTCGGCGCCATGTCCAGCACCGTCCGATGGCAGATGAACTATTGGGGCGAGAATCTTAATGAGGGGGACGTGCTCGTCACAAACCACCCATGCGCCGGCGGGAGCCACCTACCCGACATAACCGTTATCACGCCTGTTTTCAGCGACGGGGGGAAGCTCGTGTTCTTCGTCGCCAGCCGCGGGCACCACGCGGAGATTGGGGGCATTACCCCCGGAAGCATGCCGCCCTTCTCAAAATCCATATGGGAAGAAGGTGCCGCGATAAAAGCTTTCAAGCTCGTTGAGAAAGGCGTTTTCCAGGAAGAAGGGATCAAGAAACTCCTCCTCTTCCCGTCGTCTGGTATCCCCGGGACCCGCCGGCTTCAGGACAACCTATCCGACCTCCAGGCGCAAATAGCTGCGAACCAGAGAGGAATTTCCCTAATAAAGGAGCTCATCGAGCAGTACGGTTTGGAGACCGTGCAGGCTTACATGCGGCACGTTCAGGTCAATGCCGAGCGCGCGGTTCGCGAGATGCTGAAATCGGTGGCTGACAGGATCTCGCCGGACGGGCCGATGGTGGTCGTCGAGCACGAGGACTACATGGACGACGGGTCGCCCATCCGCCTGAAGCTGACGATCGATCGGGAGAAAGGCGAGGCGTCGTTCGATTTCTCCGGGACGGGCCCGGAGGTGCTCGGGAACTGGAACGCGCCCGAGGCGGTGACTTCAGCGGCCGTCATCTACTGCCTGCGTTGCCTTGTGGACGCGGACATACCGTTGAACCAGGGTTGCCTGGCTCCGGTTGAAATACGGGTCTCGCGAGGAAGTCTTCTGTCCCCGAGCGATCGAGCGGCGGTGGTCGGGGGGAACGTGCTGACGTCGCAGAGGGTGACGGACGTGGTGCTGTGCGCGTTGGGGGCTTGTGCATGCTCGCAGGGATGCATGAACAATTTGACTTTCGGGGACGAGACGTTCGGGTACTACGAGACGATCGGGGGAGGGTCGGGTGCGGGGCCCACGTGGGATGGGGTGGGTGGGGTGCAGTGCCACATGACTAATACGAGGATGACGGATCCGGAGATATTGGAGCAGAGGTATCCGGTGGTTCTGAGGAGGTTTGGGCTGAGGGAAGGGAGTGGGGGGAGTGGGGCCCGTAGGGGAGGGGATGGGATCGTGAGGGAGATGGAGTTCAGGCGGACGGTGGTGGTGAGCGTGTTGTCGGAGAGGAGGGTGCATGCGCCGAGGGGGATGAAGGGAGGTGGGGACGGGGCGAGAGGGGCTAATTACCTGGTCGGGCGGGACGGGGGAAGGAGGGTGTACCTCGGGGGGAAGAATACGGTGGAGGTGAGGGCGGGGGAGGTTCTGCAAATCCTGACGCCGGGAGGTGGTGGTTGGGGGACTGCATTATGATGATAATGTTTCGTTTGAATGGATACGAACAATGTGGTCTTTTATGGATGTGGTGATTGTTTGGCCGTTTTCTTTTTTCATGCTTCTTCTGCAATCTCTCTCTCCTTTTTTTTTTTTTTATTTACCCCATTTTGAACAGCGTTTTCATATTTCGAATTGTAATAAGATATTATATACATTTTAGAATAATAAACAATAAACTGATGCTTGCAGGGAGCTTCATACTCTGCTAAGGGTTTATTTGGAATCACCGAACGGAGCTACTCGTGTAAGAGACGCTAAGAAATTGTCAGTATTGTGTATGAAAAAGCCTTGCAATCTGATGAGGATAATTATTATTATTATTATTATTATTATTATTATTATTATTATTATTATTATTATTATTATTATTATTATTATTATTATTATTATTATCTTATTGAGTTGGTTAGGAAAATCTTAGGAGAATATTTATTTCTTGTTTATCAAGTTAGAAACTCTATTTATTGTAGTGTTTGATGGAATGACGGGTCAGTTGAATATTGAATGAAATAAGATATCGTGTTTTCTTTTGGGAGAGTATCCCGTGTTCTGTAGAGAGTATCTCGTATTGTATCTTTTCTCTTTTGTTCATGTTTTCCCTACATCAGTTGGTATCAGCAGTCAGTACGATCGCGATGTCGCCGGGACGACAAGATGCCGCAAACAAATAACGTGACGCAACCTTCAACGATCGGTTTCAACAGATTGACTACCGATTTCAAGAGTTGGACGTGCGTTTCACAAATTGGTTTGCCGATCTTTCGACGGGGATCGAGGATTTGCATTTGACGCTTAACAACGTGGTTGTTTCGGAATTGCAAACGAACCGCGATGGGGCTGTGGGTCGTGGCTTTCGCGGGGGAGACAGAGGCGGTTGTGGGGGACGCAGCCATGTCGGGGCGCCCCGACAGTGGTTCCTGCCACCTCTGAACGGCTTCGTGGACGGCGACGATCAAGGCAGCGATAGGAGTTGGCGCGAGGAGGCAGCCTTCGTTAGCAGATATCGTGCCCGACACGATTGGGGACTTGATCGTGAATTTGGTCCGTGGGAGGGCCTGTTTCGCGTTGACATCTCCGAATTCGATGAAGACCAAGTTGACGGGTCATTGTACGATGGTCCGCCTGTGTTTGATGAAGGACCCGAAGAGGTGGAGGATCGTCTTCCCGACAAAGTGGACGATCTCTACGACGATCCGCCGATTTTCGTTGAGGAGCCTCCAGGGCTAGAGGATTACCATCATGTTTCGAGTTTCAAAATTCAGTTGTTGGAAGAAATAGTTCTTCTATTGCGCAGGCCCGAGCTTTTCTCCCATGAGAATTTGTTGCGACCTGGCAACCTGTTTTTTGGTCCCCACAGTGACTTCAATATTCTGTGTGTGACTGCAGCATATATGCCTTTATATGAATTTCAAGGGGGCAATACTATGGAGGTGAGGTATTCGACCTTCGTGTTTGATCGGGGGAAACGGCAGGGGTTTACTATCATGGGTTCGACACCATACACCGACCACGGATGCGCATCGGCTTCGAGGGCGAAGCCTTCCGAACCGGAGGAGAATGGTGTAGATTATTATTATTATTATTATTATTATTATTATTATTATTATTATTATTATTATTATTATTATTATTATAGGTATCTTAGAGAATAAGTTAGAAATCTAATATTATTATAAAAGATATTGTCTTGTTGGACAAGTTAGGAATAGGGTTATGAGTCTTATTTAAAGGACTCCTCATCTATTGTTTTATTCAGTTGATTATGAAAAAAAGAATGAATTGATTGTGAGTTTTATCGAGAGAGTATCTCGTTTTACGTGTTTTACGAGAGAGTATCTCGTTTACTCGTTTATCCTTCCCACTCGTACGCTTTCCTCTACATCAGTTGGTATCCAGAGACCAGCGACGATCCACGATGCCACCTAAGAGAGACAACACCGTCGACGATCGTTTCCAACGTATGGAAGAGCGATTCCAAGGAGTGAACGACCGATTCACGGACCTCTCGTCGGGGATTGAGGAGATTCGCATGGCCATGAACACCATGATGGAAGAGACTCGTGCGAGACGCGAAGGGGCTGACCGGAGCCATCGCGGAGGGATACACAGAGGTCGTGGGGGTCGAGGTTACGGCGGGGCGCCCCGTCGACGATCACCACCGCCACCGTTGACCGGTGATATTTATGATGCAATATGGAAGGACCAAAGTCAGGACCACGACTTACGGTGGAGTACTATTTTCGACAAACCTCCACGCAAGGCCCATGGCGGCAAGCGCACGGGCGCAGAAAACCTAGGAGCGGCCCGATTTCGCAGTCAACAGCAACCTGCGGAGGGTTTTGACTACCCATTTTGGGCCAATCGCGCAACCCTAGGTGGCGTTCGAAATGCTTCGGGCTTCACCCATGAATTTCGCAGCCGAGGGCCCGATCGAGAGGACTCAGCCTTCACTGGGTTCGTTCTGCCGCAGAGCCGCTGGGACGACGGGTGCAAGGCTGCCGGCGACGGTGGCGCTTACCGACGACGAATGGAGGTGCCTGATTTCTACGAGTTGCACTTACCCATGAGCAATTTACGGCGTGTTGAGGCGGGCTGGAGTCGCGATGGGCGGCGCATCGCTGAGGACGCCGGCGACTACCATGGTCGCACCGCTTGGCCGGACAAACAATCCCTAGGTGAGTTCTGGCCACGCGAACAACGGAGGATTGACGGAGGTCGTGCGGTGGCCTGGGCATTTGACGGTCATTGCGTCGCTGAGGGATGGTCCGATGGTCCTGGATGCAACCGGCGAGGGACCGGTGCCGGATTGACAGAGGCGCAGCAACAGGTAGGGAGAAGTGGACGGATTCGCTATTTGGGCGATGTGCAGACCCGTTTTGATGTTCAGAGAAAGGCGAAGATACACAGCAGATATTGGAACACTTTTGGGCCTAATCAAGGACGACCCAATTTCATTAATTGGGACAAGGGGAGGGATTTATTTAATCCAAATTACTGGCCTATGAATTAGCTGCGGGAATTGGGATGGAACAGAGTGAGTTTGGCAGCAACTTTGGTCAAGAGATGGGCCTGTTTCGTGCTGTCATTCCTAACTTCGATGGGGCTCACGTTGACGGGCCGATGTATGACGGTCCGCCCATTTTTGATGAGGAACCTCTAGTGACGGACACATATTTTTGCATTTATATGGGTCCCGCATGGGATGTTGCAACGATTAAGTCTTCGAATAGGAAGCCATCATTCAAACCCGATTTTTTGGGTACTTTGGCCAACGATGGTTTTTCGGAGTCGAAGCCGATGCCCGATAATTGGTGGACCATTTTTCGATTGCTTTTCGCAAAGTCTCCCAACCAGGGGATGCTTGGCCGTTGTTATGGGTTTGAGCGCGATAATCAATGCGGTATATTTTGTATTAATTCGACTGTGTCAGCTTTGCGACTGGTGACGTGCACATGTGCATTCACGTCAGTTAAGTCCTTGACCGAGATTATGTTTATGTTCAAGGTTGTTGGTAGACCTTCAACATTCGTGTTCGATCGAGGGAAATGTCAGGGGTATTCTTGTCATGGGGACGACTCTAACGGGAACGACTCGGATTCGAGGACGAATCCTGCTCAACCGGAGGAGAATGATGAGGATAATTATTATTATTATTATTATTATTATTATTATTATTATTATTATTATTATTATTATTATTATTATTATTATTATTATTATTATCTTATTGAGTTGGTTAGGAAAATCTTAGGAGAATATTTATTTCTTGTTTATCAAGTTAGAAACTCTATTTATTGTAGTGTTTGATGGAATGACGGATCAGTTGAATATTGAATGAAATAAGATATCGTGTTTTCTTTTGGGAGAGTATCCCGTGTTCTGGAGAGAGTATCTCGTATTGTATCTTTTCTCTTTTGTTCATGCTTTCTGTACATCACAATCTATTTATAAAATGTGGGATAATGCTAGCCTTGCAATCTATTTATAAAATGTGGGATAATGCTACGGTCGCGTTACGAAACTATTCCGTCGGGAGTTTTAATTGTTGGATCATCTATCCTATACATGATGATCAAACGGTTAAAACTCTCGATGATGATCAAACGGTTAAAACTCTCGATGGAATGGTCCCATAACGGGACCATAGTATTTCCCATAAATTTGTAGGTATTGCAGTATAAAAAATGTGCTTTATACATTTTAGGTGAAATGGAATCACAGTTTCTTGGGAAAACTCGGTCACAACAGAAGTCTTTGTTCCAGTAGCTAAGAGCATCTTCAACCGTGAACATGAATTGTAATGTATGTGGCAATTAAATAGATGAACTTCCATCTAGGTGGAACAAATAGAAGTTCAAGTCCATAAAAATTCTCCAATGGTTTATTTCTATCTCCACATAATTCATTTATTTTGTTTGTAAATAAGAGAAAAAAATAACTCATTAAGTCTAGAAGGACTTCTACATGTAGAAGGACTTCTAGAATTATTGGTTATCTTTCATGCCACATCATCATTAATAGAAATAAAAAAATCACGATTGTAGAAGTTTTTTTATTGCATGTCTTCTACAATCCTACAATTCACACACCGTTGGAGATGCTCTAACTGTGTCACTAATTTATTTAAATAACCGAATCATATCACGTTTAGCCTAAAAAAACTAACAAAAAATGAAAAGAAAAACAAAAAAACAAAACAAAAACATACGAGCATTATGTGCATCTGGTGGCCAATCCTAGTATAGAACAAAAAACATTCTTGAGCACCAAAAGAGGATCATCGTTCTCAATCCCTGACTTCACACGCCAAGCAATGTGCTCGTCGGGTCTCACTAAAATGGCTCCTGTATGAGACATCGCACATAGGTCCCACCATGAGCTTGAACTCGAGCTTCGAGTCTTTGCTTCAACCACGTCAACAAAGTTGTTCCAAGGTGAAAGCTGTGTTTTGCTGTTCCCAATCCCATCTGTGGGCCTTTCTTGCCACATTACACATACCTTGAGTGCAACATTAAGTTCCTCAGCCACCTTAAATGCAGATTGCGCTACACGATACGACTCTTTGATTGGTGCTATGATAAGAAGGAACTCTATTTTATCAACAGATATGAGGTCCAGCGTCGAGAAGGCATCCTGTGATAAGAAAGATACATCTCAGAAACAATGTATTTAAATAAGACAAATGCAGTAAGTCGGAGAGAGAGAGAGAGAGAGAGAGAGAGAGAGAGAGAGAGAGAGAGAGAGAGAGATCTTGTAAAATTGTAAAATTTACAAATAGTACATCACCCCCTTCAGTATAGGATTTGTTTCACATATAAGCACTTGACTGCCACAATATGTAAACTATATCTATATATATATTAAACTGAAGCAGCTGGAAAAAAATTTGTTTTCCCTCCCATTTTATATTAAATGTTACTCATTAATGTTTGATAAAATCAATAAATATTGTCTA